AAGTTCTGGGTTACATGTGCAAAATGTACAGTTTTGTTACATAGGTATATATGTGCCATGGTGGTTTGCTGCAACCATCAACCCATCACCTACATTAGGTATTTCTCATAATGTTATCCTTCCCCTAGCCCCCCACCCCCGACAGGCCCCAGTGTGTGATGTTCCCCTCCCTGTGTCTATGTGTTCTTATTGTTCAACTCCCACTTATGAGTGAGAACATGCAGTGTTTGGTTTTCTGATCTTGTGATAGTTTGCTGAGAATGATGGTTTCCTGCATCATCCATGTCCCTGCAAAGGACATGAACTCATCCTTTGTTATGGCTGCATAGTATTCCATGGTGTATATGTGCCATATTTTCTGAATCCAGTCTATCATTGATGGACATTTGGGTTGGTTCCAAGTCTTTGCTATTGTGAATAGTGCCACAATAAGCATACGTGTGCGTGTGTCTTTATTGTAGAATGATTTATAATCCTTTGGGTATATGCCCAGTAAAGGGATTGCTGTGTCAAATGGTATTTCTGGTTCTAGATCCTTGAGGCATCACCACACTGTCATCCACAATGGTTGAACTAATTTACACTCCCACCAACAGTGTAAAAGCATTCCTGTTTTTTCACAACCTCTCCAGCATATGTTGTTTCCAGTCAGGGAAGGTTTTCATGGAGTAGGTGACAGTTGAGATCAAACATTAAAGGTTTATTAACATTTCATTGAACAGATCAAAGGAAAGGACATTGGAGGCAGAGGAATAGAATGTGTAAAGGCATGAAGGAGTGAAAAAGCATGGTATCATTTAATATGTCTTTAAGGCAATACAAGAAATCTTTATTATCAGAGAGTAATTGGTAGTGAGAAAGGGCCATTTCATCCACTGAAAATTGAGAAAGGATAACAACTATAAACTCTGGGCAAAACACAACTATATGAAGGCACTGAAGAGCAACTTGAAACAGACTGAATCTTGAGAGGAGAATGAGCTTTGGAAGAATGGAGGGAAGGAAACTGGGTAAGTTTGTCATTTTCAAGCTTTCTAGTATGAGGGCAGGCTTCAGAAAAAAACAGCATTTTTTTCTGACCTGCAGAATCAAGGGAACAGACTTTGGGCAACCACAGTTGCTAAGAGGTGAGGAGATAATCCCAAGAAGGAAAAAGCCAAAGAAAGGGAACCCCAACTTGTATATTACAAATCTCTGACTGATCCCCAAGCCATCGATGTACAGAATTGGTCTCAAGTAGCCTAAGTGAGGTTAAAAGAGCTAAATAGCTAAATAGTTGTTGCTCACTGCAAGTAAGGCAAAATATGCAGTTTGAGTCTCAGCAAGTAAGCTTCGTAAACAGCAATACTATTTAGAATACTATAAATGAATCTAGAGTCTCCACAGCATAGTGATCACAATGTCTAAGATATAATCCAAAATTGGTCAACATATGAAGAACCAGGAAAATTTGAGGAAAAAAAAAAAAAAAGACATCTCAGTAGAGAGAGATAAATTATTGAAAAGAGCCAAAGGGAACTTTAAAAAAAATGGTATCTGAAAGAAGAAAATCACTTGAGAGGATAATCAGCAGAATAGAGATGAGAGTGAAACTGAAGATAGATTAATAGAATTATACAATTTAAAGAACAGAGAGGCCAGGCATGCTGGCTCAAGCTTACAATGTCAGCACTTTGGGAGGCCTAGGCAGGAGGACTGCTTGAGACTAGAAGTTTGAGACCAACCTGGTCAATGTAGCAAGACTGTCTCTACAAAATAATAAAACTAGCTGAGGGTGGTGACACGAACCTATAGTCCTAGCTACTTGAGAGGCTGAGGTGGGAGGATCACTTGAGCCCAGGAGTTCAAGTCTGCAGTGAACTAAGATGGTGCCACTGCACTCTTGCCTGGTTGTCAGAGTGAGACCCTGTCTCTAAAAAACAAAAACAAAAAGCCCCAAAACAACAGAGAAAAAAACTGGAAAAGAAAAGAAGATGAATATAGGATTAGGGATATATGACAATATTAAAAGGTCTAACATACCTGAGTCCCAGAAAATAAAAGACAATGATTTGGGGGCAGGGAAAAAATTGAAGAAATAATGCCACCAATTTCCCAACTTTGGTGAAAGGTATAAATGTACAGTCATAAGAAGTTCAGCAAACTCCAAGCAAGATAAATGCAAAGAAAAGTACATCTAGGCACCTCATAGTCAAATTGCTGGAAACAAGAAAAATGTACAGGCAAAAATTGTTTTTCTTTTGTAAAGACCAAGAAAAAAAGACAACACAACTTACCAATATCAGGAATGAAAGAGGAATTATCACTACACATCTTACAGTTATTAAACTGACAATAAGAAAATATTATGAATATCTTTATGCCAAAAAGTTATACAACTTAGATGAAACAGACAAATTTCTTAAAAAAAACTTACTAACTGACACAAGATGAAACAGAAAACTTAAATAGCTGTTTCTGAAAGAAATTGAATTTGTTCATTAAAAAAATAAAAATTTCTGTGAAGGAAACTCCAGGCCCAAATGATTTCACTTGTGGATTCTATCAAACATTTAAGAAATAACATCACTCTTACATAAACTCTTTCAAAAAATATAAGAGAAGGGAACAATTTCTACCTAATTTTATGAGGCCAGCATTACCCTAACACCAAACCTGAAAAAAAATTATAAAAAAGGAAAATTATAGACCAATGTCCTTAATGGTTGTAGATGCAAAAGTCTTTTTTTTTTTTTTTTTTGAGACAGTGTCTCGCTCTGTCGCCCAGGCTGGAGTACAGTGGCCGGATCTCAGCTCACTGCAAGCTCCGCCTCCCGGGTTCACGCCATTCTCCTTCCTCAGCCTCCCAAGTAGCTGGGACTGCAGGCGCCCGCCACGTCGCCCGGCTAGTTTTTTGTATTTTTTTTTTTTTAGTAGAGACGAGGTTTCACCGTGTTAGCCAGGATGGTCTCGATCTCCTGACCTTGTGATCCACCCGTCTGGGCCTCCCAAAGTGCTGGGATTACAGGCTTGAGCCACCGCGCCCGGCCGATGCAAAAGTCTTTAACAAAACAACAGCGAATCCAGCAATATAGGAAAAGGATGAAATATCACGACCAAGTAGGGTTTAGTCCAGAAATATAAGATTGGTTTAACATTTGGAAAATGTTGCTGTATTAATAGAGTAAATTAGAAATCGTATGATCATTTCAATAGATGCAGAAAAAACAGTTGACCACACCCATTAATAATTAAAAAACTCCCAGCAATCTAGGAATATCATATAACTTTTTTAATCTGAAAAGGATGGCTATGAAAAACCTACAACTAACATCATATTTAATGGTGAAATAGTGAGTGCTTTCTTCCCAAGATGGGAAACAAGATACTGTCCATGCTCATTCATCCTACTTGACATTGTATTTAAGGTCCAACCATTAGAATAAGGCAAGACAAGGTAGCAAATAGTATAATAATATAAGAGGAAAAAAGTAGGACTGTATCTGCATCTTTGCCAAGGTCATGCGATACAAGGATGATTTCTTTTGTATTTTAATGTATTAAGTGGGTGGGGATCAAAATTGCATGGTATACAATGGGAAAAATGATTTCATTTTGAGTCAACTTTTACAAATTAAAATTAATAAAAATAAGTTTATATATTGGCAGCATTCATTTATAATTCTAACTATGCATTAATTCTTAGAAGAGTGATCATGTTTTTAAGAGTAATTTTTCAGGTCAAATATTATGAAAGTAAAATCAATTTTCACACTGTAGTACCATCTGACGTAACAAAGGCCATTTTTGCAAATAAAATGTCCTAAGGACTTTGCTTAATCTTTTTATATTCAAATAATTCTTTTATGAATAATCTACCATATTGACTGTCATTCCTGCCACTTTCTGGTTCTTCAGTTTTTTTCTTAGTCTAACTGTAAATTGTTGATTTTTCAATGGTTTGAGCTATTCTCTGACACTATATTTCTTTGCTTCATGAAATCTTGCATCTTTTGCAAGGTGTGTGGTTTTGTTTTGCAGTCACCTTACATTTTTATTTCGAACACTGGTTTCAATGCTACAATGCAATATCTGGTAATTGACTGGCCTGATTCTCAAACTTGACTGAAAAAAAAATTACAGGTGTATGGCAGTTTTAAAAAGTATTCTTTTGCTTAGGTTACACTTCAACCAGTTAAATCAATCTTTTGAAATGGGACCCAGGTATCAATAGTTTTTATAGGTCTCCACGTGATTCCAATGTGCCAACAAGTTTGAAAGCACTGTCAATGATTATCAAAGACACAAGGACATTAACCCAAATGTGTGAGATACATGTTAAGTTAATCTGTGAGAGATGTTTACGTGAAGAGTAATTTTACAAATGGTAAGGTTATTAATGAATGCCTTTTACCTTCTATATAATTTTGGTGACTCACGTAATGAATATTTGGATAATGAGAGAATTTCCTAAATCCATTGAGTGCCAAGTATATATGGGCCAGGAATACAATGGTGAACTAAAATGTATGTTGTACCTTTCTCTAGTTTACAATCCAAATAAGAGGAAGACATTAAATAAATATTTAATTGTAGGATAATAAATACTATGAAGGAAAAAGGAGACCTAATTTGGTTTGGGATCAAGGATGGTGACTACACATTAGTGATATTAAAACTGAGACATAAATTATAAGTAGGATATAGTTTAGTGAAGAGGAGACAGAAGAGGGAACAGTATTTATGAGGGCCATAAATGGAAAAGAAGCTTGCAAGCTCTAAGAATAGATATCAAGGAAAGATGATTTAGAGAGCATTCATCAGAGAATAGTTAGAGAAGATCAGGTCTTATGTTGCTAAGTGTGTGTATATGTGTCAGGAAGTAGAAATAGAAAGATAATGTGGAATCAGCTTATTAATGAGTGTTATATCTATATGAAGGAATCTATATCCTGTAGGTTATGGGGAAATAATGAAGGTTTTTAAGTAGGATATTGACATGATTAGATTTTTTGTTTCAGGGCCATGACTCAGTTACTTCACCCCCCGCCTGCCCTCCACAGAAAAGGCTTTTCCAGTGTGGTATTCTCAACTTAGAATCAGGAAAGTAAACTTTTCTTTGTTTTGTGTTTCCTGCATTATGGTAAAATTATTGAAGTTGAATGGATTCCTCCTTCAATTGTCATTATTATCCCACTTCCCAAGCTAAACCACATGTGTAAGAACAACAACAAAAAACAACAACTCTGCTAATATTCCTCAAGAGCCATATGCATACCAATACAAGCAGAGTCTTCCTATGAGCATTACATTTTGCCAAAGACAGCTTTGAAATAAGGCTGGGGGAGCTTGAGAGCCATACTCAAGGGGTTGGCCCCAGAGAACAATATGGCTCCAGATACCACAGATCTCTGAACATGTTAATGTGGCCCAAGGCAATTCAGCAGCAACAAACATGAAACTATCCTCTTAATTTGAATGACTATTAGCTAGTAGGAAAGGAAATGTGAGAGAAAAAAAATGTAAAATTTTAATTAAATAATGTTTTACGTATTTTTCTCCTTTGGACTTAGTTCAGTCATAAATGATATAGCAGTTGCCTGGGATTTCCACAGCATTAATTATTTCAAAAGAGCAAAAAATGAATCAGAACCAAAAACTTATTTATTACACCCTTCTTTCCTTTTAAGCATCATGAAGAACTCAGCAACTTTTCTGGTCACAGGAGTTTGCATTTCTAAGACTTGGGTGTATCCAATTTAAAATGGATTAAAATATGATCCCAACATAATAATAAAGGAAAGATATTTGTTTTATTTTTTCTTTACCTTTCTGTTCACTGAAAAGTTTTTCTTTTAAGTGATGGAAATGAGACTTGAAAATAATGATACTACTGAGATAAAGCATACCTCAAGTGCATTTTTTTAAAATTTTCCAAGGTTAAAATGCACTTCAATAAACATTTTACAGGCATGATTTAAACTTACCCACTTTTTATTACGAAGTATAGATGCCTCTGATATTAAAAATGTTATACATTGCTTTTAACCCACTGACAATCAGAATCCAAGAAAAGAAATGAAATAGTCACAGCTGAGTCAGCTAAAGTGACAGTTAGATCTGGAGATGTCAAGTTTTGGGGGAAATTATAGAAAAGGTGAACTGAATATTAATTGGGATCAGGGAAGCACATAATCTAAATTCTAGTTATGATTCTGCCACAGATTAACTGTGTGACTGTGTTTCATTTAGTTCATCTGAAATCTGTACTAGCCCTGCACTGTTACTACTACTACTAATAATAACAGTACTCGAAGTAATTGAGAGTGTACAACATCCTACTACTTTTTATTCTGCTTTTCACTCTTTTAAAGTTAGAGCTCTGGTTAATGAAGAAACAGGAAAATGATTTCTATTTCTGGGAAGATGCCCTTTTTCCAGATGAAAAAGTCCTCTAGGATCTGCTGTACAGCTCTCTGGCATGTTCTGTATTAATTTATTGTACATGGTGTTCAGTGGGACAGTTCCAAAGAGAGATAGATACTACAGGTGAGAAAGAAAAAAAAAGCAATACGTTCATTTCTGATATTTTAGTTTGCTTTCTATGCTGCCATTCTTTTTTTCCCGTTGTTCAGTGTGATTACATGGTAATAGCTACATTTGCCGAAAGCATTTTTATTTCTATTTTAGAATGTAAAAAGGTGCATTTCACTTATGACTATGCTTCTTGAAATTTCTCAATTTTTTCAGTTTATTTCTATCTTTTCCTAGAGTTGTTTAAACATTTTTTTACTCTAAAAATGAGGGTGTGTCAAAATTATTGCAAGCAAAGATAGAGGTAATCATATGTGGTTTTTGTTATAAGGTTTGTGTTGCTGCTGACTACTATTTAAAATAGTATCTCTAAGATGAATCTACTTTTAGCATTTTTTTCTTTTTCACGTGAATTTATTGTGCAACAACTAATCAAATTTTTCTCGTATGTTACATTATTTTAATACCTTTATTCTTCTAGGATGTCATGAGGCAATTTGAACAGGGAACTCAGTTTAGAATGAATTAATCTATTGCACATTTATATATTTCTTAGGTTTCTAAAGACTTCTTCTGTACGTGCCAATATTATTTTTACAATTTAACTATACATTCTGATTCCTAAACAGTTTCTTGTTTAGAAAAAATAGAAAGGTTAAAGAAGATAATTAAAATAACCTATATTTCATTACCAGAGATAGTTCCTGTTAATATTTTGGTGTAATGTATGTGAGGATGAGGTTATATCATAGTTTTATCTTCTGATTTTTAAATTTAATTTTTTAACAGTGTTTCTCAATGGCTCAGCTATCATTACAAACATCTGATTCCTGAGCTGTTCCTTGAGCGTCTGTTAAGACTTTTTATCTTTACATTGAGTGGTCTCCAAATTGCTGTTTTTTTTTTTTTGAGTTCTTGTGTCTGAATTTTTGGTTTCCTATCTTTGCCTTTTTCAGACTTGAAGTTGTCATTTCTCTGTAATTAGTGTTTTTGCCTTTAGCAATATCAGTCCTCCTCCCACACTCCTTTATAAGCTGCTACTTCTATTTGGCTATGAGCTGTTAAATTAGATAAGAAAAGAGTGAAAACTAACATTTTCTAGGCCTCCCTTTTGTTGTACAGCACTAATGTAGGTGCTTTTACATGTGATACCATTTAATTCTCAGAATAACTCCTTGAATTGCTATTAGTTTATATTTTAAGGATATTAAAGATCCATTTATTGAGCACTTAGTATATGCTAGGCACTGTGCTAAGAACATTACATGTATCTATTAGGTTTATTCCTGCAACACTGCAGCAAGGTGAACTACTATACAGGTAAAGATACCTGGACTCAAAGAAGTCGAGCAACTTGCCCAAGATTGTATTACTGGTAAGTGGTGGAAGCAGGATTTGAACCTAGGTGTGCTCCTCAAATAATTAAAATTGTGCTACAGTTATGTTTAAGTAAGAGTAAATAGATTCTGAGCTGAGGAATTCTCCTTTAAGCAAAGTAAATAAGCTTTAATGTATTTCCTTGAGACATCTGTTTTGGATTTTGCTGCCTTTCTGATTCTTCTTATTGCTCTGTTATAAGGATGTTGCTGTGTAAGGAATCTATGGAGCAATGTAGTGACATAAGTGTGGGAGAGTCTAAGGAACTCAGTATTTAAGCTGAATTAATCCTAAAAGAATGAACTTTAAACATTTTATGAAGGAAAGAGCAATTCTTATTATTGTTACAGAAGTCTCTATTTCATGACTCATAGAATCATGAGTGCATTCTTTGCTAAATTTCCTATATCAAAGGGTACTTAAACAGAAGTTAATACAATAATTATCTAACACAACATTGTACAGCTATATTTCTCAGGGAAACAGGATTTAATCTCAATGTATACTTCAAATTATCCATGAAAAGGGAATAAAAAGTTTTAATTAGTTTTTTTGTCTTTGTTTTTGTTTTTGTTTTGTTTTGTTTTGTTTTTAATGGTGCTTAAGAGATTAAGTTGTGGTTAAGAGCTTGGTCTTTAGCTAGTCTGCCTAGGTTAAAATCCTGACTCTGCCATTGCTAGTACAACTAGTACAACTACCCTGGAGTTGACAATGATTCCACATTGAACTCTCTAACTTAATTTAGGTCCATTTCTTAAATCTAAGCACAGAAACACCTAAAGTTGCAGTATTTTATTCAGAATAGACACAAGCTTCAAGTGAGGAATTAAATATAGCATCTCTTTACCTTTAGATAATTTTCCCCCAAGTTGAGAGATTTCCTCTGCCTTTTGAAAATATACTATATTAGGTAAAAGGGTTACAGTGCAGTTCTTTTCAACAGCTGAATTGAGTGTTGAACATGCTTGGTATCCTATAACAGAGAGCACTCCTTATTAATTTGCTATTTTATTATTGAAAGTGCAAATAGCAAATTATTCTCCCTCCCTCTGTTGTGTGCATGTGCAAGACAAAGATAAAAGCCATGTTTCCTTCGTGGAAGGGTGTGGAGGTAGAGGATGATTTCAATTAGAAATAATGACAGCAATAGAGGCTTCCAATGAAGATATCGTGGCCACCAAAGGACAAAGGCAAGAAGTTAATTCCTGAAGTCGAGGTATTTGATTAAACATTTAGGCTGTTCTTTATGTGTGCAGATGACAAGTATGTTGTTATTTATGAACTGAGTGACACCGTATTTGACAAAGGTTTTTTACTGAATGTTTTGATGATGGTTGGGAGAGAAGCAACCCTGTGATATCCAGAGATCCTTTAATAATTAAAGTAAAAATAACATTCTGATAAGCAAAGACTTTGCTTTTTAAGACTTTTACTCTTCTTTTATAATGATTAACTGTAAGAAGTGGCTTATGTTAATGGTGGTTTATTATTCTGGTTAATAACATTCACTTGGAGAGAAAAATTACCAGACTTTGATTAGAATGTCTATTGTGTGTTTTTTTTCCCACTACCTTAACAAATTGTTTTAGAAAGAGCTTACAACTTAGTGTCACCCTCAGGTGTTTTTATGTCTAAACATTTATTTTTAAAATTTTGGTATTGTGTCCATTGTGCCTCTGCCTGTGTGTGTATGTGTGTGTATGTTTGGGTTTTGGGAGGGAGTGGGGGAATAAGAAGTTTTAGATATGGAAGTCAGTGAAACAAGATGTGTGAGACTAGAATTTTTTACTGAAAAAGAAAAGGTTTCAAGCATGTTTTCTCTTTTGGAGAGAAAAAAAATGAAACTGACTATATTATGCATATTTTCATGAAGAATGTATATAAATATAATTTGGAAAATTATGAAAACAAATTTACTTTCTAGAGATGGAAGAAAATATATGTGACTTAAAAATTGCAACAGAGGTAAAGAAAAAAAGTGAACATATTTTAAGCATAGTGTCCAACTGGGATAAAGTTTTAACAGAACAGGCTGAGCCATTTATAGATTACAACACTTTTAATTTTGTCAGTGTTACAAAGTGTTTATTTTGATAAAGAATTTGTTGATGGTCTATCAGCTTTTCCATGTGCAGAAGTGCAACTGGGTGATTAGTTAGGCTGGAGGCTAGCAGCCAAAATTGAGAAATTTGGTCCCCAGTTCTTTTTCTGGAATAAGAAAAAGCTACTGAGTTTTCCTGGGCCTTGATTCCCTATTGCAGAAATTCTTCACTATCAAGGATGTCAGCTCTTTTCTCTCTTCTCATTTTCTTGCTTTCTTTCTAAAATTCTCTTTTTGTCTTGTGGCATTACCATCTTCGTCTGTGTTTAAGTAAGTAAGTACTAATTTTGGAGGTATTCTAGGGTTTATATTAGCTTAGTCATATGGAAATTCTTTACATTTGTATCAATTTTTTCTGTAATTATAAAGCCAAATAATCTATTTTTTTTTTTTTTTTTTTTTTTACTGTAAGTTTAAAGACAAGGAATCTACAACTTGGAGAGATTATTTGGCTTGCTCAAGATCATATGTTTAGAAATCAGGGCCGGGACTTTTGGCAGTGCCACACTGCCAATTAATTGATTCCTGTTCATTTATTTTTTTATCTTGCTATATTGATGACCAGTGTCAGTACATTATTTTTATCATCTGTTTAACTATTTTTCAATTGTCTTATTTTATTATATCTACCTATCTATTAGTATTTGCTTGATTTCTTTTTATGTCTCATTTGCAACTTGATATAGTTGACAGGTTTCATCATTAAATTAAATTTGGAATTGGTTGGATAGAATATACCAATACATTTAGGAGACTTGCTTTTCCTAGAAAAACTGTCATAGTTAGTTGTGTCTGTTTTGGCAGTAAGAAGTTACTATGTTTTTTTTTTTTTTTGCGTTTAGCCATAATTATGGACTTGTTAAACAATTAGTTGGAAGAGTGGATTTAGATAAAAGAGTAAATATAGTCTTTCTTATTACATTTTTTCTGATTAAAAAACCAAACTATGGTTATTGGAAAAAATTGGAAAATATAAAAAATAAATTATAAAAGCCCTGTAATGACATTTAGAGATACCTCAGAATGTTTATACTGATTATATCCTTGACGTTTTTCTATTTAGATACACATATTTTTTAAAGGAAAAATGGGATCTTATTGCACATGCTGTTTTTGCAAGCTACTTTAAAAAAGTTAACATGTGAGCATTTCCCTATGGCATCAAATTCTCTTCTCCTGCCTAACTTTTCTTTTTATAATGAACTTTTTATTTACTCTAAAAGTAACAGATATTATATACAAGAAATTTAGGCAATACATATAAAAATTAAAAAAAAACCCTTTTCACTTTATATTAAGGTATACACACTTTTTGTATTGAAGATTTTATGTCTGTGCCTATCTATCTAATGTGCATATATATGTATATTTAAACAAAAATGAGATCATATGGTATCAAATGTTTTATAATCTATTTTATAATTTAATGGTATATAATTTACAGTTTCTATGATACCACCTGTTGTTTTACATTATTAATTTTAATGGTTGCAGACTATTCTATTGTGGCCATTTCATAGCTTAGCTGGTCATCTAT